ATTCTCCTTGCTTGATGCTTCCATAATCAAAATTTGTTTATAACATAATATTTTTAATAACCAAAATTTTAAGAACCTAAAACCAAATAAATATATATATATATACAATTTATTACGAATTTTCTTTTCTGCTTATTTACTTTTTTTTTTTTGTCAACAACTTTTAATTAAAATTCAAAAGAGTAGGAATGTTGTTTACATAATTGATATGATATAATTTACTCTTTCATATATATATATATATATATATATATATAACATTGGTAAATAATAATTTTCAGTTACAAACCGTAATTCTTCACCAATCAAAAGTAAAGTGATAGGGTGTGACTGGTTAGCTTAGTTAGAGGAAAATAAATGAGAAGAAATAAAAATATTCTCAATTAGTCTGTTTTTTAACCAGTAAAGAAGAATTTATTGTTCACCAAATTCTTCTCAATTCCTCTACTTTTAGTAGAAACAAGTGAAAAGATTCATTCTGTAAATACATGAAAGAATTTTTTCTTCCAACATTTATTTTTCTTTTCTTCTGAATTCTTCTTATTTCATTTCTTCCTTTTTCTTCTAATTACTCCCAGTCACACCCATAGTGTTTTTTTAAAAATAGCATCTTAAAATATGTTTGAAATTAATTTATACCGTTGTAGTATAGTGACATGGTCTCATACTCTCATCGAAAATTAAGTCCCAGACACCCATGTTATCTATACAAGAACTGTTTGCCAAAACCCAACAAAAATAATTGCATGTCTTCATCTAACTTGAAAATTCATTAATATTTAATATCTAGCATTCGACACATGTTAATAATACATTAGAGATCTTAAGAAAAACCTTTTGTACATGTAACGTTTCCTCTCCGATTTTACAAATCAACATATTTTGAAATTTGAAACTTACATAAATTAAAATTAATTAATCGAATTGAATTAACTTGTCCGGCTGAAACTAAAACTTACCTGTCCAATTCCAAAAGAAACCAACCAGCTCGGCAGCTCCAAACACACACGAACACCCAAGACGTGGACATTGCTCTTTACTAGCATCATACTTGTCATGTAACAATTGGACTTAGAGTGTTTTCATAGCTGGGCGGTGAGAGATATTTCAAACTTTTGAATATTATTATAACAAACATTTCTTCTTTCCCCATTTTTTTTATTATTATTCTATTCTATTTGTTTCCCCTTTTTCTAAGGTTCGTTAGAAAAGTTAAAGCGACAGATTCACGCGTTTTTTAGTGGGTTGCTTTTTTAATCTGAGCCTTCCAAAAATACTCACACTAGCTAAAAAACTAAAAAGTTTAAACTGACCGACTCTGAAAAAAAAAACAAAAAAAAACAGGTTAGAACATCGATATATCTTAGACCAAATCTTAGCCAAATCTTAACATTAAAACTATTATAATTAATCAAACCAACTAAGATTGTATCTTAACTAAGATATTTTTGGTTCGGTACGAATTCGGTTATGGTTATTTCGGTTATAAAATTTAATATCCATTCGATTATTTTCAAATTTTCTGTCTGGTTTGATTCGATTCGATTCTTTTTGTTTCGGTTTCGGTTCGGTACATTCGGTTCGATTTATTTGTCTGGACATACTTCGGACCCGTGTTTAAATCGCTAGGCGCTAGTCGGGCGGAGAGGGTGCGCCTAGCGCCTAGCAAGAAAATCGGGGATTACACGGGGATTAATCGGGGATTAGTTTTAGGGCTATTTAATGTTTAAAAAACATATTAATTCATTATAATTAAGAAATTTATATAATATTGTTTTTAAAATTGTATTAAACACATGAAAACAAGATTTTAATTTCAAATTTACGAACATAAGTAGGACGTTTTGAATTTTAGATAAAAAAAAAAAAAAAGGGCTAAGCGCCGTCTAGGCGGGCTAGGCGGTCTAGGCGGACAAAAAATCAGATCTCCGATTTTTCTCACCGATTTGGACAAAATCGCCGCGGTGCTCCTCCGATCAATACCTAGGCGGCCGATTTTTAGAACAAGGCTTCGGACCATTTATACTTTGACTATATATTACTATATTGGGCTAACTTTGATTCGGCCCATATAAAAATAAAGCCTTCACACTAAAACATTTTCTTAAATTGTTGGATTTTGGAACTGAGTTTATGATTGCATCAACCATATTCATTACTAACCTAATCTGTTTTGAATCGAGATTTTGGGAAATCCCTCGAATATAATCCATATAATGAGATCAAAGAGACGATTGATTTACCCTAACTCACTTACTTACTCAATAATTAAAAAAAAAGTTAATTAATTTTTATTTTTTCAACAGCTAAAAAAAAGTTACATTAGTTGCATGCAAATAATCAAATGAAAAATGGGGGGGACTGGAAAAGACATTTGAAACGACTACTCACTGCGTTAATTCCACCGAGTGATTAACCCAATCACAAATTACTTTTTTTTTTTTTTTTTTTAATTTCTAAGTTCTCAGTTGATTAATTTAAACGACAGATCTTACTGTCCATAATAAACTCTAGAATCCTAAAAGCTCTCTCGTTCCCAAATTTGTCTCTCATTTCGAAAATTTCAAATGGCGAAAAAGAAGCAATCTCAGGCTTTGGTTACTCGATCTACGGCGAAGAAACCGTCAGAAGTTGCATCAACTTCGAAGAAACCGTCGGAAATGCCATCTCCGGTGAAGAAGCCGTCGGGAGTCACATCTCCGGCGAAGAAGCCGTTGGATGTCGCATCTCCGGCGAAGAAGCCGTTGGAAGAATCATCAACAACGGCGAAGAAGAAGCAACCCGAACCGGTTAAAAATCTAATGCCGGAATCTTCTAGCGAAGAAGAAGAAGAAGATTCTTCAGCTGATGAGGAAGAAGAACCATCCAAAGATTCTGGTAAGAAAAATCCAGAAACTGCTGTTGTCACCAATCAAAGTTCAGTTTCAGAGTCGGAACCGGAGACTAAGAGTGAGTCTGACACTGAAACTGAGCCAACGGCCAAAACGCCGACTCCTGCTACTGCTCCAGCTTCTCTGAATAAGAAGAGACAAAGTGAAGGAGAACCTTCAACGGAGGAGGTGAATGTGTCTAAACGAGCCAAGACGGAGAGTGAGAGAGAGACGGCGAAGAAGCAACTGTTTCAGAGATTGTGGAGTGAAGAAGACGAGATCGTGTTTCTTCAAGGAATGATTGACTTCAGAAGAGACATAGGTAAGAGTGTTTCCGATGACATGAATGGGTTTTTCGAAAAGCTTAAGGATTCAATCAGTTTTGAGGTGAAGGGTGTGAATCAGTTCGTTAACAAAATCCGGTCTTTGAAGAATAAGTACGTGGTGAAAAAGAAAAGTGGTGACTTCACTAAAGATCATGATAAGAAATGTTTCGAATTGGCTAAGATGATTTGGGGAAGTGATGTTGATGCCACTCTTGTGAAGTCAAAGAGGAAGATCAAGGTTGATGACTCTTTGAAGGTTGATGGTGTGAAGGTAGAATGTGATTGGTTTGTGAGCTCGTTTCTTATTGGTTCGTTTAAGAATTTGGGTGCATGGATTGATGAAGAGACTTTGAAAGTGAAATGGAGTTTGGTACCGGTGAAGACGAGGAAGAGGATAGAAGAAAAGATTAAGTCCGTGCAAGCTAATGAGTTCAAATTGATGTTGCAAAAGCTTGAAGTTTTGCATGAGGTTAGCTCTCTGATGGCTAAATCTGATTAGACTTTATCTATTTAGATATGCATTTGGCTTTTGTTTGGGTGTTGTGTTTGGACCTTATGACTTTCTGGTTTATGTTCTTTTAGATTTTGTTGTAACGGCTAATTAGTATCAAATGCTTCTTTTTTTTTGGGGTCTAAGTAGCAAACAATCTGATATTCATATGTTATATGTCAAGATGTTTTTTGGACAATCTTTAATTATATGTTATGTTTTTTGGACAAGTCTTTGCCGATGACCAAAGTTAGCTTCTCTGCATATATCTAGCCCACACACTTGAACTGTTTTTAACCAAACAGAGAGAGCAAGAGAAACATTGAAACCTCAAGAACATTGTTAATAGTTAGTTAGTTACCTTATGCTGCTTATATTCCTCTCTTACATCTTCTAAAGCTCCTCATGTTTCTGCTTAGATACAAGTCATGGATCATACCCACAGATTCTTTCAGATCAATCAGCTTTGTGTTTTGGGTTATTTACTTTAACATTACACTCTGTTACATTCAACACCAGAGGTTTCAGTGCCTTGTATATATAATAAAGTGGTGCATAATATTCTAAGCTTCTACATGTGTTGCCTGTGTGGCTTCCTAACTCGAACACTCCTCTCATAGTACGAATATTGTCAATACGTTATACAGTTTCAATTTCGATATTGCTTTGCACGAATAATCCAGTTTTTATTCTCACTTACATAATAAATCAACAACTCATTGGCTGGTCTAAATTGTAAATCCGTAAAAGTATTCACCTCCATTTGATGGGAGATTGATTACACGAAAATGCCGGTAGGCGGTAAGATAAAGAGCACACATCTCCCCGTCTGGAGATCGTCAGAGTGAGCTTACATAGGATTATGAAGGAATTCTCAGACGACGCACACTGTTTGGGCTAGTAGAAATGGGTTTGACTGGGCCAGGTTATTTGTTAAAGTTGGATTTTGGGTTTCATTTGGTGTTTGGTGAGCTAGGATAGTGGGAGTTTCTCTGTTCGGGACTGTAACTTGTAAAGGAAGCAAGATTATTTTTTCTCTGATAAAAAACAATCCGTTTAACATGTAAATAAAAAGTTCAAACAATTGAAGAAAAATTAGATAACCAATACAAAACCAAGGAATACTCAAAGATAAAATTTGTAGAAAAATAAAATAAACCAATGTAACAGAAAGATAGAAGCACTCAAGAAGAGCTTGTGAGACACAACGAACAACTAGAAGAAGCATTGATGGAAAATGACACAATTTTTCAAGAAAGCAAGCAAGGGAAACTATTTAGCGCTCTTGTAAGAGTCTTATGAAATCCTAAGAACTCACATACGCTTCAAATCTTCGACGTGGTCTATAAAAGTGTAAATCTCTTGACCACTAACGGGTCCAATTCCTTGGATTATAACTCTTACTATAGTACTCTTCTCCACATTGTAGTAGAGAATGTAAAAAGGATCACGTAGAACAGCCGGAGAAAACACAAATTCACCATTACCAGTCATCCCAACAATGTTCAATCTTGTATTTGCAACAAGATTCTTCCACAGAGGCGGCAATACATAGATTTGCCTCAACCATTTCAGTTTCTTAACATCATCTAAAACCCACAACTCAAGACTTCTTGTTGTTCCGCTGAAACAACCATTATGATCTTGACGAAGTACACCTAATTTACCATTGCAATTTATCAGAGCTGGGTACCAATTTACATTGTTATCCAGAGCTTGATGAATAAATGTGAACTTTATTAGGGACCTATAATGTAAATATATTATACTTAGGCTAATATGTTAATTTCCCTAAATATGTTTAGGGTTTCATGTGTAGGATGTATATATACCTTTTCTCAATGTCAATATATAGAACACAACTTTTCTCTTTATTCTCTTTTCTCTTTGACATGGTATCAGAGCTAGGGTTTTAAGAAGAAAATCAAACAAAGGAAAAAGAAGAGAAGATGGCTGACGTTGACGGGAAAGAGGTTGCTCCGGTGAAGACTGCGGAAGGCGGCGGCGGGAGTGGACTCACGGTGGCGGAGAAGGCTAGGGCCTCTCCACTTTATCTCCATCCTTCTGATGGACCGGGTAATGTGATTACTACTGTTCAATTAAAGGGAGAAAACTATGAAGATTGGGCTAAGCATGTGCGGAACGCCTTGCGAACGAAACAAAAATTAGGGTTTATTGATGGGACCTTGGAGAAACCTACCAAGGATGATGAGATTGAACAGTGGAAAGTGGTTAATTCTATGTTAATCGCTTGGATTATGAACACGATTGAGCCGACTCTCAGGACATCGATTTCTATGGTGGATGAAGCTCAAGCGTTGTGGGAAGATTTGAAGCTTCAATTCTCTGCGGGAAACGGGCCAAGAATCAGTGAGCTTCGGGCTGATATAGCAAACTGTAGGCAAACCGGAGATACGGTAATGGTGTACTATGGGAGACTTAAGAAGATGTGGGATGAATTGGCAATTTACAAGCCTATTCGATCATGTAGTTGTGGAGAACTGGCTGCTCAGTTGGAAGAAGACCGTAATGAAGAGAGAACCAATACCTTCTTGAATGGTTTAGATTCTGCGAAGTTTGGTACGGTGCGTTCTACTATCACAAGTATGGAACCACTACCCAAGCTCTCACAAGTCTATCAAAGGATCATTCGAGAAGAGAGACAACTCACGATTACTAGGAATCGTGATGCCACTCCGGAGGCTGTGGGGTTTGCGGTCCAGGCTGCACAACGGGGTCAAACTTCTAGTTTTTATCGCGAGAAGGACGTGACATGTACTCATTGTGGTAAGTATGGGCATGCAAAGGCTGATTGCTTTCAGATAATTGGCCTTCCTGAATGGTGGGGAGAACGAGGTCGTGACTACAATGATCGCGGTAGAGGTGGACGTGGACGTGGAGGACGTGGTGGCCGGTTTGGACGTGGTCGCGGGTCCGGTGGTAGGGCTAACGCGGTCACGGGTGTTCAGGCAAATATTGTTGGAGGAATACAAGCTAATTCAACAAGAACACCGGCTGATTTGGATCGTCAATCTCTACCACAAATGAGTGATGATCAATGGAATGCTCTCAAAGGTCTCTTTGCTTCTCAAAAGTCAAATCCTAATGAGAAGCTGAATGGTAAGAAAGAATGTGTTGATTTTATTATTGATACAGGAGCATCACACCACATGACTAGTAATTTAGACTATTTGTCTAATGTGATGAATACCAATCCATGTATGATCGGTCTACCGGATGGTGATCATGTGGTGTCCACCCAACATGGTGATATATGTCTCGGGGGTGATTTGTGGCTACAAGGAGTTTTGTACTCTAAGGATTTAACATGCTCCTTAATTTCGGTTGCAAAGTTGTTGAAAGTGGTTAAGGGTTCTATTACATTCACTGATGAGTTGTGTGTTATACAGGACCGGGCTATGAAGACGCTGATTGGGGTTGGTGAAGAGTGTGGGGACGTGTACGTGCTTCGAGGGGTGATTGGTGCGAAGATACATAAGACTGTGAGCAGTTCAGGATCATGGGATTTATGACATCGTCGTCTTGGTCATCCGTCTAGTCATGTTGTTCCCTATTTATCGAGTTATTTAGATATTGGAAAGCAAGTTAGTTCCACAACAGTTTGTGATATTTGTTTACGGGCTAAACAAACCCGGGATTGTTTTCATGAAAGTTCTAATAAAGCTGCTGGAATTTTTGATTTGATTCATTGTGATCTCTGGGGTCCGTATCGAATAGTATCTACTTCGGGTGCTGCGTATTTTCTGACAATAGTAGATGATTATTCGAGAGCGGTTTGGGTGCACCTGTTACGGGAAAAAAGTGAAGTCGGTGTAACTCTTAAGAATTTTTTCAAAATGGTGGAACGACAGTTTGAGAAGAAGGTGAAAGTAGTACGTAGTGATAATGGCGGGGAATTTATGGGTTTGCGATCGTACTTCCTAGAAGAGGGAATCATGCATCAAACGTCGTGTGTTTATACTCCTCAACAAAATGGTAGAGTGGAGAGAAAGCATAGACATATATTGAATGTTGCTAGATCGTTGATGTTTCAAGCTACCTTACCACGTCAGTTTTGGGGTGAGTGTGTTATGACTGCATGTCATTTGATTAATCGAACTCTATCCACTGTTTTGCAAGGAAAGACACCCTATCAGCTGTTGTTTGGGGAAGTACCTAATATCACTCACTTACGAGTCTTTGGTAGCTTATGCTTTGCTCGTAATATTTTGCGGGATAAAGATAAGTTTGGGGAACGAAGTAGACGGTGTGTTTTTATGGGGTATCCATTTGGTCAGAAGGGATGGCGTGTGTATGATTTGGAGAAGTTGGAATTCTTTGTTTCTCGGGATGTGGTGTTTTAAGAAGATGAATTCCCATATCAGTTGGCGGAACAGCGATCGATCGATCCACATCCGGGATCGATCGATCCCGCACAGTTTGACGATGATCAGTTTCGACCAGAGACGACTAGATCGATCGATCCGGCACGTGGATCGATCGATCCCGAGTTACTGACATTTGATGAGTTGACGGACCAAACGGGATCGATCGATCCGGCACATAGATCGATCGATCCCAAGCTACTGACATATGACGAGCTTGGACCTGAGACGGAGCGATCGATCGATCCCACGCCTAGATCGATCGATCCCACGCCTAGATCGATCGATCCAGAGAAAATTACTGAGACATCAGCCACTAACGGATCGATCGATCCGGCACCAGGATCGATCGATCCAGCATCTAGCTCGTCCGGTGTTCATATTACGGGGTCCAAAGATAATAAAAAGACTTCAGATACTGCTTTGGAGGAAAGGGGGAGTCAATTAGGGAATGATAATCTGACTAGTGAAGGGATTAAAGTTAGACAAAGCGAACGAGAAAGAAAACCTCCGGCTCATCTAAGTGATTATGTACTACATACTACACGTTGCTCAGTTGAACATCCCACACTCTCACCGGCACCCACTCAATCAGCGTCCTCTGTTCCAGGTACGGTCCTCTATCCCATTGCTAATTATGTGAGTTGTGACCGATTTTCTGATTCATAGAGAGCTTTTCTTGCGGCCATTACTGCTGTCTCGGTTCCTAAGTCATACTCGGAAGCTGTTAAGGATGAGAAATGGTGCAATGCGATGTCTGGAGAGGTGAATGCTTTGGAAGCAAATGACACTTGGGATATTACCGATCTTCCGCCAGGAAAGAAAGCTATTGGCAGTCATTGGATCTTTACTATCAAGTATAAGTCGAATGGGGAAATTGAGCGTTACAAGGCTCGTTTGGTGGCCATGGGAAATCGACAGGTCGAAGGGTTAGATTTTGATGAGACATTTGCTCCTGTTGTGAAAATGACAACTATTCGCGAGTTTCTTAAGATTGCGGCTGTCAAAGGATGGGAAGTACATCAGATGGATGTTCATAATGCGTTTCTACATGGGGATCTTGAGGAAGAAGTTTATATGAGATTACCTCCTGGCTTTGTTTCTCAAGATAAATCAAAAGTTTGTCGCCTTAAGAAATCTTTATATGGTCTACGTCAAGCACCACGTTGTTGGTTTGCTAAGCTTGCGGCATCACTAAAAGGGTATGGGTTTGCTCAGCAGGTAGTCGATTACTCTCTTTTTACCTTGGAGCGTGGATCTATGCAACTCTTTGTGTTGGTCTATGTTGATGATTTGTTGATTGGGGGAAATGATCTTAATGGTGTTCAGGATTTTAAGGGATACCTTAGTGAATGTTTTCATATGAAGGACTTGGGGGCTATGAAATATTTTTTGGGCATTGAAGTATCTCGGTCTCATGATGGTTTTTACTTGTCGCAAAGGAAGTATGCTTTGGATATTGTAAGTGAATGTGGGTTGTTGGGATGTCAACCAGTGTCTACTCCGCTTGAGCAAAACCATAAGTTGCCGGATGATGAAGGAGAGTTCTATGAGGATGTCGAGAGGTATAGGAGGCTTGTTGGGCGTTTGGTATATCTTACTTTTACCCAACCAGATTTGTCCTATGTTGTGCATATATTGGCTCAATTTATGCAACAACCACGTGCTAAGCATTGGGCTGCAGTTATACGGGTTGTCAGATATCTTAAAGGCTGTCCGGGTCAAGGTATTATGTTGAGTTCTGATCCTGATTTACAATTGACAGCTTATTGTGATTCAGATTTTTCTACATGTTCCATGTCTCGGAGATCGGTTACAGGATTTATTGTTATGTTGGGTGATTCTCCGATTGCTTGGAAGACAAAGAAACAAGATGTGGTGTCATTTTCTTCTGCAGAGGCTGAATATCGTGCAATGAGTTTTACTACTCAAGAGTTGAAATGGAATCGTGAGCTTTTAGGATGCTTTGGAGTGTCTCATCCGCAGGCGATGCGTTTGTTTTGTGACAATAAGGCAGCCTTACATATTGCTGCCAATCCAGTTTTTCATGAGCGGACGAAGCATATTGAGAGGGATTGTCACTTCATTCGGGATGAAATTCAGGATGGTTCACTGGTTACTGCGCATCTTACCACTACGGAGCAACATCGGATATCTTTACTAAGGCTTTGGGTTCTCAACAATTTGCTTATTTACGGTGCAAGTTGGGCATGTATAATCTTCATGCTCCAACTTGAGGGGGAGTATTAGGAACCTATAATGTAAATATATTA